ACACACACACACACACACACACACACACACACACACACACACACACACTTGTGCACACACGCATGCACACACACACACACAGTAAAAAGTACTCGCCGAGCGAAAATCTAGGAATGTTTTACGTTTTCTAGCAAATGCTGAGTTAGTGACCCTTATTTTATCGCGGCTGGCACCACACAAAGTATTTTTATACTTAGTGTCTTTTTTTAGTTGTTTGTGTTTATGTAAATAATCCGTGGTATGATTAATTTTTTTCTTGTTTGTGATTTTGTTTTTACCTACTTATTTATTTGTGTCTTAAGTGTGAATATTTTTAATTATGTTATAATACCACTAATACCACTAAAAAGTAGCCAGTTTATTTTTCTGTGTTGTTTCTTTTTTCTTGTATGTCATTTGTAGTTCTGAACATAAATATATTTTCTTTCTTTCTTCTTTCTTGATGCAAATATAAATATTATAAAATGAAATCGTCACGCGTATTTATATCGCTAGATTCAAATTTTGATAAGCCAAAAATGTGACAAAATATCAAGCTGCAAAATAGCCAAGTTGTTTTCCGTTAAATACTAAAATTACTGCGTAAACTCGATAGCTCGACATTGCGCTTCTGAATAATTCGATTGCTCTGGAAGTTCACAAACAGGATGTTTTTACTCTTTTCCCAGAAATCAGGTTTGCTGTTCCCCATAACATTAAATATTAGATATAAAGAATGTGCTCCATTTTTAAATTAAGTTTAGAAAGTAGATCTTTCCAGATATTATTTTCACCCGCGTCGCTTTAGTGCAATGAAGCCTGGTAAGCAGTAACCTAAAACTCTCTCCTTGGCAACAACCTTGACAGGAAATCAGGTTATATATATATGGAAATTTATTTCTAAGCAATTTCTACGAGGCTCTTTGCTCAATACAGTACGGTTTACATCATCGATCCAGATACTTTAGATAATTTCCAGTAACTATTTCATACATGGTTCAGCTATTCAATATAAATAAATTAATAAAGTAGCAGAAATTAAGATATTTTAAATTGGTTCACATAGTCAGGTCAACATATGATAACCTTCTTATATTTGTATACCTTCCAGAGCGCTTAGATTAAGTTTCTTTGTTTCTTCAGGCATTAGAACCGTAGCAAGAGAAATCCCTGTGACTGAAACTTTCTCGCTAACCCAACTGGAAACAATGTTGAAAGATGTCAGACCTACAGCTCTCTTTATTACCCATGGGGACTCCTCGACAGGCAGCGTGCAAAACCTTGAAGGAGTTGGAAAACTATGTCACAGGTGCGTTCTTACAAAGCTGCATTGTGCAATATATTTGGCTCATCTACATATTTAAGTAGTTATTAAAGGGTTCGCCCAGAGAAATACTGCCACCTTACCTATTTCTGCCGCCAAGCAGTAATGTCAGCATTACTGTGTTCCGCTTTTGAAGGATAAGGGTGCTGGTGAAATTACAGGCACACGGGAATTGTCAACTTATGTCTCAGGCTGACGGGCGCAATGGTAGTGCCCCTCAGATCTTTGCGATTTAAAGCTCTGAGTGGCACTGCAACTGTTATGGACAGACGTGTAGCTTACCATCAGGCGCACGACTTGTTCGTAAAACTCAAGTGGACTGTTAATCTCCATACTACATTATAATCGTAACTCCGAAAAAGGTCAAGATCCCATCTTATATCCGCATAGTAGTTTATATATATTATATGGATAATGGCCGTGGATATCAATAATTCCTCTTTAATGTATTTTTTCTTTTTTAATAAATAACGCACACACTCATAGCCCCGCACTAGGGAAACCCTGTATCGCGGGTGCCATGGACACAGTCATGGGTAGACAACCACAAATGACACCCAAATATAAATATTTCTCCCGGCCCGGGAATCGATCCCAGGACCTCTGCATGGCAGTCCAGTATGGCAACCGTTCGGCCACAGAGGCAGTTGACGAAATTTGATGTTGATGAATAATAATAAGTAATATTATAGGGGTTAAAGTATGAAATTGCCGTTTTATTGCAATAGGTTCTTTGAATTTTCATAGAATCTTCATGGTTTGAGGTTTTCGAATGAAAATTTTTTCAAATGGTTTCTGTGATTTTTTTTTTTTTAAATTTGAAACATTTGAATATCGACTTTCAGTTGTTTTTGTTATTCAATTTAGACAAGAAAGATGGATACTGCGAAAATTCGAGTGATTTTTGAATACGAGTTCCGACGCGGAACTAACGCGGCAGAAACAGCCCGCAATATCAATGCTGCGTTTGGAGAGGGGTCTACTAATGAACGCACCGTGCGATTTTGGTTTAAACGCTTTCGTGATGAAAATTTCGACTTAAAGAACGAGTCACGAGGAAGACCGCCCACACAGGTGAATAACGATGAATTAAGAGAGATAGTGGAAGCCGATCCTAGTCAAACTACCCAGGAATTAGCGGCATGGTTTAACGTTACCTTACCCACAATATTGACTCACTTGCGTCAAATCAATAAAATAAAAAAATACGAAAAATGGGTGCCTCATGATTTGACTGATCTGCAGAAAGAAACGCGTGTTGAAACTTGTGTTGCCTTGTTGAACCGGTACAGAAATGAAGGAATATTGGATCGAATTGTAACATGTGATGAAAAGTGGATTCTTTATGATAACCGGAAAAGAAAAATGCAATGGCTGACCCCAGGTCAAATGCCACAACAGTGTCCTAAAGCAAAACTTACCAATAAAAAGGTAATGGTAACTGTTTGGTGGTCTCAGCATGGTGTTATTCACTATAGTTTTCTCCGATCTGGTCAAGCAATAACGGCAGATGTCTATTGTGCCGAACTACGGACCATGTTGACAAAACTAGCAGTAAAACAGCCCCGACTCATGAATCGATCTTCACCATTATTGCTCCACGACAACGCGAGACTTCACACAGCACGAGAAACCATTTTGACCCTTCAGGAACTGCAGTTAGAAACCATTCGTCATCCTCCATATTCACCAGACCTTGCTCCAACGGACTACCATTTTTTTCGTGATTTGGACAATTATCTACGTGACAAGAAGTTTTCTTCCCAGGAGGCAGTACAAAATGCTTTCACACAGTTTGTGCAGTCTAGATCGTCGGAGTTCTATCGCAAAGGCATTAATAACCTTCCCATTAGATGGCAGCAATGTATAGATAATAATGGCAACTATTTTGATTAAATAAATTTGTTAAAAATTTAAAAAATAAACAATTTAGATTTTCAGTACAAATCGGCAATTTCATACTTTAACCCCTATTATTAACCATGACCTAATATTATTTTTGAACTTTGACAAATATGCATATTAATAGATGGCATTGTGTGTTACAAACTAATTTGTAAATTAATACTTGTTAAAATGAGTCGATGGCGCTATTCCTAAACAAAATAACAGAATAGCCAGGAGTATCCATAAAAATCGCTGCAATAAGCGCTATCTAATTGATTTTATTGTTGTCACTAGAAATTAGAGTAGTTTTGATAAATTGCAGCTAATCAATGTAAAACACATTCTTTTTTTTTTCTTTTCAAAAATACTCGTAGCTATTAGTACTCATCGTGAACTCTGTATCAATTGATATTAAATACTCGGTGTATTTAATATCAATTGTAGTATTACGCTATTTAGTATCGCGATTAGCAGTCCTCTTAGTTATGGTCAATGGTAGTATACAATCCACGTAAAAATTCTACACGGTTAAAGTCGCAGGCAGCACCTTGTCACTTATATGTCTCTATTATATTCATTTATTAATATATATTTTCATTATAATGTAACTGGGCGTTTACGTAATCACAGGAATAATATTGTCTGGGTCTTAATCACTTCACGTATTATGTAGATTTTGGTGGGATTGGTAAGGTTAGAGTAAGGTTGCATACGTGCATGTGTGTGTGTGTGTGTCCGTGTATGTGTGTAACTTTCAGTCCTGCAGCATAATTAAATAATTAGACCGTTCAAGTTAGACGCTTATGATGGAGCAATGCAGCAGTGGCGCAAATGTGGCGCGGCAGCCGCGCATTACGTCTTATTTCACTAATTATTACTGCAAAAGTGGCGCGCGCGTGTCACGATAGTAGCACTACGACTACGCTTCTAGATAATGTATAAAAATTAGTAGTGGCACAGCTGCCGCGCCAAAAACGCGTCTGATTTGAAGGCGCCCTAAGTGCGTTACTGTCACAGAGGCCCTTAAAAAATCGAGAAGAGACGTTTATGTTGATCTATTTCTTTTATTACGGTCGTCGATCTCTTTCGTTGAACTGCAATGTACAGTTCAAATTTACATCATGATATCTGTATCAGTCTGATTTTACCCTTAATAAAATAATGGTAAATTCTTAGAATAATAACGCATAGAATGATAGTTTCATATCAAACGAACTGTCACAACTGAGGCAAAAATCAAATTCATGTAGGCTAGTTTTAGTAGTAGGTTAATTTTCGGTTTTAGTGAATATTTATATAAAAATACAAGTTGAAACGCGTTACTTCCTTGTGGAATGTGATGTTAGTATCTATTTTATGTTTGTCTGATGTATTTTTACACTTATTTACCGCACATTTCGTCATTGTTAGCCAAAATTCTTGATCTGTTCGCGGTGCAAGTTGACCTTGAGCACTGAAGGCCCGCCCGCTCGTGTAGGCCCATTGGGCGCGCTTCAATTTGCCTCACTTAGCGTGTGCGGACTAGGTTTCTATGCGTTATTATTCTAAGGGTAAATTATTTAAAACAATGATAAATAAAAAAAGTAAAATAATGGTAAATTATAATTATATATTACCATTTTACATTTTTTAAAGAAATCGTTAAACTTTATTACATTTTCAAATTATAAACTTGTAACGGTAAAATATGAAACTCCAAAGAAAGCATGGCTCCCTTTTTAAAAAAAAATGGCAATGACAATAGCCATCCAGGACCCTCTTTTACCCGGAAACGCCCGCAATTCGATTTATCGTTGCAGACTCACGTTTGTTTAAAGTTTAAAAACGTTACAATTGGCAAAAAATTGCTATGCGTCAAAACATGTTTGATTCTGACAAATAAAGATACGCCAAAATGATTTAGTAAGAAATTATGAGAAAATTCATTAAAAAATTGTTAGCTTCTGTGCTTTAATATACGTGAGATAAAGGTATTGAGTTAAAACTGAAAGGGGTCACGCACAACCCATTGAAATCGTCCGGTCTGAATGACAAAGCTGCCTCTAGCCCCTCAGGAAGATTTACTCACTTAACTAGACTGAGTTTGCAATGACACTTTATTAAGCGACTTCAAAAAAGAAAGTTCTCAATTCTACTATATTATATCGAGTTCCTAGGTTTTGGCGATTGTTAAATGGAATGTCACACAGGAAATTTAAATCGCGTATATTTGTTTTTTCAAACAATCAACATTTCGGGCCCTTTACAGGTCCCATGATCACATCAACCGTGCAGTCAACCGTGACCATGGAACCTGTAAAAAAAATATACGTGATATAAATCCGAAAAAATAGTTTAAACTGTATAATTTTTTTCGCGTATGTTACTCCATTTTTTTCTATTTATCATGTGACCCGCAATTTCCTCCAGTCTACTCCATGATTTTCCTAGTCTACCGATTTCGATCCATCCTAGCTATGTGTCCTGCCCATGTCCATTTCATTTTATCAATTTCATATACAACTTCCACAACCTTGATTATCCGACAAATACTCTTAGAAAGTACCTATCCTTAAGATCACAAGTGTCTTGCCACCCATGAGAAACAAGCTCTAAATTTCCTATGCTCTTGTAATTGCGCTGGCTCTCCCTACACTTCAATAAGGAACAAAGCAATACCACTTTGCGACGGAATAATAGTAGACCGGTAATATTTACAAAGACAAGTTCTGCATAGATAACACCTACCGCCTTTAAAGAGATGTTAATCTAAGTTAAAATAAATAACATATTGATAAAGAACGAACTTATCATACCTAACTTACGGTTACGGTTTCAATTCATTCATTCATTCATTGCATTTAAGTCAAATTTGGCACTATTTAAAAGTTATTTTGCGATTTTCGGTAAATCAAATTATTAAAATGATTAAAATTCCATTTAAAAATTGCAATAACATTCATTTCAATAATTTATCAACAATACTTTAAAGATTGGGAACTCGAACTAAAATTTTCAAAAAACGCTGAATAGTATTTATTTATTGACAACAGGCTATATTATGGCCTTTAAAGATAACAAATAATTATGAAACTGAGAATATTATTATAAAACTTAAACGAAATATCTTAAAAATGTAACAAAATCTAAAAAAGTTAGTCACGGAGTAACTTTTTTTGAATTGCTTACTTTTACAGACGAGATCGCAATTTGCATGGCAAATGGCACGTCATGACACGATTTTGCTATGAAAGAAAAGGTGAACGGATTTCGAATGGGGAACGTAAACTGCATGGACTGTGAATTGTTTTTGTGGGGTCATAGTACGAATTTGACAGGCAATCTAACTTACAGGCTTAAATAGGATTGCTCTAAGAGCTTATAGTAGGCCCCCTGCTCTAAGAGCTCACAGTAGGCCCCCAGAAATATTCTCGAGTGAAAGAGCTAACGAATAAGTTACCTACCAACGTCGAATAAGTTTTCTGTGCCATTAGCAAATTCAACATTCCTATAAATCCCCATTCCTTCATCCTATTGGAGATTCAATCTCATATTATCGTCGAGGAGATTTACCAGAACCGATCCAATTAAAATTGATGGGTTGCTAGTCGTTATCGAAAAGAAATCTTCATTTTCATACAACGTTTGCACTAAAACGATTTCCACGGAACTTCTTACCGCATTGGACTAAAAAGGAAGCGAACTTGAGCAGAAAAACTATTTGATTTCCCGACGACTGGGACACGGGAAACCGAACAATTTAATTACATTTGCTATCTCTCTTCTACGCTTTGGTTGCAGCGTCTTGGAACACCTATATAGAGAATTCTTTTAATTGCATTCCGCGAAGGAGTCTGCAATTACCATGCAGCGGAAATTACCAACTGAGGCAAAAGTTGAGATAAAACCGTAATGTCCCGACTAAGTTTTCTAAATAAATTTGTGTTTCAGGATGCTCTTTATGCAGTGAGGAAATTGCGTTCGAGTTGCTCGTTTGTTCTCTTAGCGTTTATTTAATTTTATGATGCGAATTCATATAGACAATTGTTAACGTTTTGTGTGTGCAAATTTACAATTTAGCTATGAGTTTCATGTTACAGTCGCTTAAGTACAGGCACAGACACATTCACATCCTTCATTGTTCCACTTTATTCTAATACTTCACTTCGCCTTACTTACCTTTAGAAATAGTAGAGCTCCTTGGGAAAGAGTTCGTCTGGAGAAATAATGCCATCTTACCTATTTCTGCCTGCTTGGCATAATGTGAGCGTTTAGCATATGTGTTACACGCAAATAAGTGTCTCAGGGCGACGGGCGCTGTGGCAGTGCCCTTCAAATCTTTTCGATTTAAATCTCTGACTGGCACTGGAACTGCATGACTTGTTCGTCCCGTCACTTGGGGACACACACACAAAAAATTAAAAAATGCATTCACATATACTATGCCGTCCCATTCGCTCATCTGATACCCCATAATAAACATTCCTATCATATCTCATACTGTTATACTACCAACATACTACCGGCTGCACAATTCTTTCGTAATTATTCGACGTGTCCTTGGCCTCGATCCTTTGAAACGACAGATCAAGGAACACTTCCTCAACTCCTAACTTTATTCTGTTTTCTCTTGTCCCTTAATTTATTTCAGTTTTTATCAAGTTCTTGGGTTTTCGCGAATGTTACACATAGGGAATGAAACTAATTTTTTTCGGGCCACTTACAGCTCCCATGGTCACGGCTGAGTCCATGGGACCTGTAAAGGGCCTGAAACATCATTGGGTTGTGTGGTTGTTATAAAACAAATGTACTTGTTTCAGATCCTTAAAAAATAGTTTCATTTTTTATTTCTGTGTTATCATATATATACAATTGCATTATTTACTATACCATTATTATATACGTTTACATATAAATATAAGCTGTGCTGATACTTCCACAAACTTAATTGTCAAATGTAACGAATGTATATATATATATATATAACGTAAATATTGGCGATGTACGCTTAAACCAAAATTGGTTTTTGTGACACTAGATCTCCAATTATACAAAAGTTAGTTATGTTTTAAACAAAGTATAAAAAATGTTTACAAAAAATAGTAATCAATGTCTAGTATACTTATTAGTGATACATTTTATAGAAGATATAACTTGATTATGGAAAAATTCCCACTTACCAATGAGACCGAGACTTATACATTAAATACTTTTCTTACATTACTATTATGTGCAGTCATTGTAATTTTTTAACTGCCTCTGTGGACAAACGCTTACAATGCTGAACTGTCACGCAGAGGTCCCAGGTTCGACCCCCAGGACGGGAGAAGTATTTGTATGGCTTACATTTATTACTCTCGTGAGTTTGGGTGTAAATTGTGGTTGTCTTTGTGTGAATCCATGGCATCCGCGATACAGGATTTATCTATTGCGGGACTATAAGTGTGTGTTACTGTCTAATATTGCTTTTTTTATGTGCAATGAAGAATATTATTCATTTATTTTAACTCGCTACCTCCTTAAAGATATAATGTGCTCAGCCATTAAACCACCGGAGACGTCATAAAAACAACTTGTTCGTGTTCCTTCCCAGATATGGAGCTCTGCTTCTAGTGGACACAGTGGTGTCCATAGCAGGAATCCCATTCTTCATGGATGAGTGGGAAGTAGACGCAGTCTACTGTTCTACGCAAAAGGCTCTTTCCGGACCAGCTGGAATTTCGCCTGTCGCTTTCAGTCCAAGAGCTGAGTAAGTACCTTTATACGAATTTACTAAACTTAGTAAATATCTTTAAAAAAAAAGTTTATTGAGTTACACAACTTTAATAGAGCTATTTTACGAGATCTTTATATAATTATATTCCCGCGAATTATTATTATAATGTGTTAATCCTAAATCTTAGCTTTCATTTAATTAAAATTGACAATAATAATAATTCTTACTTTTCAGGGCTAAAATTACCAATCGAACGCACAAACCTTCTTTCTACTTCGACATAAAGATGCTAGCGGACCAATGGAGTTGCTATGGACAAAGAAAGTTCGTATCTAAACTTTCATTTAAACACAGAATACGTAGATAGTTAGCCTAAATATAGTCCCACTGTCGGGCACAGGCGTCCTCTCGCGATCGATCTACACACCCTGGCACCGCCTCGCTACCTCGCACATCTCTGGTGGAAAAGCAGCCTTTAGCTACAACGGCTTTTTTTAGAATACGTACATGACTATAATTCAACCACAGAAATGTAAATCAAAAAGACTACTGGCAACCGTTGGTATAATATAAAAAAATAGGGGAAGTTACTAAAGTAAAATCTACACAATGACGTCACAGTTAATATGTGGTGACAATAATACAGCGTAGACGACAAGGAAGTGACGCTAGACGAAGAGAGAGGCGAGTCCACAGACATTACGGTCGGGTTTATCGTATATAACATAAATGAGACTGGTTATTTTTAAATTTTAAATAGACTAAATTTGTGTCTTGACGTCAATATTCCTTAAGGTGATATATTTAGATGTATAACATGATTCATTCGGGTTTCTTGTTGAAGAAAGTTGTACTTTAAAATTGGCGCGTTAAAATTTGACTTTTATAGATTTTATATACTAATAAAACCGTTGAGCTTAAAGATATTAAACTAGATTTGACTCTTGTTATCAATGTACTTAATAATGTATACTATAACTTATTAGTTGAAAAAAGTTGTGCTTTAAAATTCTCGTGGTTTAAATGTCATAAATTGAAGGGTATATTCATTTGTCATAATTTCCATTTATAAAACAAAACTAAACAAACCTCCACAGGTACCACCACACTGTAAGTCCACCACTCGTCTGGGCGCTTCGGGCCTGCCTACAAGAATTATCCAAAGAGACTCTCCCAAAGGCCTGGGATCGTCATGCTGCCACAACTGCACATTTCCACAAACGCCTTAGGGAATATGGATTCAATTTCCTAATACCGAAGCCAGAAGACCGACTTGTCACTGTGACGACTGTCACTCTGCCTGCTGGATACGATTATATTGAGTTCACCAAGTACATGAGAGCTAAGTAAGTTTTTATGTTCTCAATTATCTTTCTTTTATAAGTACTGACTTTTGCTCAGAACTTCATTTGCATTACATATAGAACGTTTCAGTTTCATGATGTGAAATTCGACTTTGAAAGTAAGATCTACTGTAGCCACGTTGAGACGACAGACGCTGGTTCGAGTTCAATTGTATTTTGTATTGAGTCCGGTGCGATGCACGCTCAGATTCGGACGTGCTCACACAGTAAGAATTATATTAATTCGCGATCCGCGCGGTAATGACCGCTACGCGTAATTGACTATGGGTTCCCAACAACTCATAGCCAATGAACTGCTGGCGTTCATACAACACGCCATCGACACTATGGACGAGGTCAGCATCATGCAGATCTGCAAATCAAACTTTAAAGAAGATGAGATTTGCAGTGGCAAGGCGCTGCTTTTCCGTGTGCTTGGCAAGGCCGAGCAGATGCCATCTCGCCGGAGGGATGGAGGAACGAAGAGCATCCAGGACATTATAACGATGTTAAAGGAAACCGACCCAGACGACGTGCCTGCTTTCGTGGCAAAGGAGCTGCACAAGCAGCCCCCTGTCACGTTCGACCATGTCGATGTCACTAGGCTGCTTAAGGACATCACATCCCTGAAAGCAAGTCTGGCCGAAGTTCAATGTAAATTGGAGGCTTCGGATAACACCATCTGTGAGTTACGTGCCCAAGTTGTATTACTGAGTAGTGCAACTTCGGTAAGTAGGTCACCCGAGGCCTGTAACGTGAATACTCGTCGCGGGGCACATAATGCATCTATCGGCAGTTTTGAGTCGGCCCATACGGATGCGTCACCGACCGCTGTCGCTGAGCGCGATTCCCCGCGCCCCGCCCCTCGATTGTCCGCTCCGGCGGAGACGTCACGCGTAAACACGTTGACCCCTCCACGTGATTACGCCGCTGTCGCAGCTGTTAACCGACCCGTTGCTCCACAACCACAAGCCAGGCAGCTATCAACGAAGGGGATGAAAAAACCTCGTGTACCTGTCTCTGAAGTTGCAAAACCACAGAGGCAGACGGACCGGTGCGACGATGACGGCTTCACAAAGGTGGAGAAGAAGAAGAGGAAGCCCACCAGCCGTAACCTGTGCGGCACTGCACCGACAGGGTCCAACTTTTTGCTGCGTCCGGCAATCCCGACAACGCTGCTGTACCTGTCACGCCTGCATTACTCCACGAAGTCTGAGGAGATAGTGGAGTACATCAGGTTGAAATCCAAATACACCCTGAGGGTCGAGCGGTTGGAGTCTCGCCACTACGTGAACTTTAATTCGTTTGTGGTGAGAGTGCCGACCGAACATCTGTCGACCTTCATGAAGGAGGAGTTCTGGCCGAAGGGTGTCCTATACCGGCGATTCCGTGGCCGGTTGCCTGACACCAGATGGCGCCACACGTCGCCGACAACCTAAATACGTGTTAAATTAGTAATTAGTGTTATTTTATATTGTTATGTATGTTAGTCTGTAAGGTATGTATCTATGGGTCTCAGTAACCTGAATATAAATAAATAAAGAAAAAAGAAATAAAGAAATTGTATCGATTTTTTTTTGTTATTCGATCTTTGTTTCAATAATAATTTGAAAACACTAGTTAAAACAAATAACATTTGTTCTACAACTTTTCGAATTCTCTCAAATGTTTCACAATCCCGAAACTCCACATTAACTTAAAATTGTCATTCCACCTTTTTTTATAATATTAAGTGATGGGATGAACAAGTCGTGCACCTGATGATAAGCTACACGCCATAACAGTTGTAGTCCACTCAGAGCTTTAAATCGCAAAGATCTAAGCGACACTGCCCCTGCGCCAGTGACCCTGAGACATAGTTGACAAGTTCCATGTGCCTATAATTTTACCAGCACCCATACCCTTCTAAACCGGAACGCAGTAATGCTGACATTACTGCTTGGCGACAGAAATAAGTAAGGTGCCAGTACTATCCTGGACGAACTCTTTTACAGGGAGCTCTACTGCTACTAAACCCACCTGTACCTGTATCTGCCTGTAACTAAGTAAATGTTTTACAGACACAACATCTTGATATTCCCGGGTCTAGGCCCAACAGTAGGCAAGGCTCTTCGCATTGGAATCATGGGCATAAACTCAACCATCCAGGTCGCCGACGCCGTCGTTGATGCCATGGTCGACACCTTGAAGAATCTCAAAAAGTCTTCCATTTGAATGTACAAGAAACGATATAAAAAACTGTAACACTTATTTAAATACTTGTAAGTTACTTCAGAAACGATTGCGTTTGTATTGACTTTAGAAATCAATGTCCTTATTGTTTATACAATAAATTTATTAAAAATTCCTCGTAAGCTCATTTATCTTTTTTTTCATAATCTCACTGCAGGGCAAAACTTCGCTTAAAGTTTTGGACGTATCTCATCTCACCTTTTACCATATTAACTTGCCGTATCGAATGCACAAACTGTGCAATGTACACATAAAACAAACATGGCCGTCTGCGTTAATTTTTCGGAACAAACTCTCAACAAACACTGGACACAGTTTTAAGAATTAAGTATAACTTCGAATCAACTAAGAAATAAAGCTGCTGAACATTGACTGCTACACATAAACGTCTTCCATGAATTTATCGTCATATCAAGTATCGGTTTTGAAGACATATTTTGTATATACAGGGTTCTTTGTAAAATACTAACATCGAAGGACTATTATCACTAACAAAAATAATAAATTTACCAAAACTTTAAAGTCTTGGTTCTAGTATCTGACGCTTTTTAGATATGTATTTCGTCGCCTTACTTTCTCGAACTCATATTTTAAAGCACAAAGTTACTGAAATGTAAAAAATAATTGTGTTATATGTATATATACACACACAATTTTGCAGGCTGATTTGACATTACATTTTCTTCATATTCCCACACTGGCCTTTACCTATTCTTAAAGTAATGCAGCAAATTAACCTCGTTGATAAGAAATTTAAGATAAGTAGAAAGTTTTGTCACCTCCTGAATAATCACTCCTTAAAGATACGAGTTTGAAAAAGTAAGGCATCATTTGGTAGTTGAAATGTGCAAGCGTCCTCCCCGAGACGACCCCCAACCCCGCTATCGCGTTTTGCATCAGATTTACGCTAACACTGTATTTTGTTACTGCACAGAGTTATCACATTTTAGAACGATCTATTTAAATATTATCATTTTTCTACGAAAATTAAAACTCATGAATTATTAAAAATCATGGAACAAAAGTTGTTGTTTATGATGTTAGTAATATATTATGTAGTCCTGTGAGGATGCTAGTATTTTACCAAAAACCCTGTAGAATGGTACGTACAAAAACCGACCTCAAAAGTTCGTGGAATTACATTTATTTGCCAAGTTTTATTGAAATCGGTTACCGGAATTCTCGAATCCGGATTCATCCCCTAGTTTGCCACCCTTAGAGAGCGAATATTTTCTTTAAATTTAAAAGGGACAAATCACACTAAAGAAATCTCAGTGTAGAAGGCGTTATCGGTCGATGACGATTATCTGCGGATAAGTTCGGTAAAAATCTTAAGATAACATTGGTTAAACAAGTTTTCGTACAACTTGCCGTCACCACGTGTTCAGTTGTTAACTCAGCCTCGGGTAATTCATAAAATTAAGGTTTAATTAATAAGCAGCGTAACTGAGTTCACAGGTAATTTATTTTAATATTTAAAACTGTAGACGGTTTACAAACTATTGACTGGATGCACCTAAATCCAAATTATGCAGTAACGGCCAACAATTATAAAATCGAAACAATTGATATGTTTACAAATTCCAAATATGACATGAAAATATCAACTTAAATAAATTCATCCCTTTTTAATAAGCCGAAAAACGGACCGGGAGACCTATTGTTTATAATAATTATTTATAAAATAGAAAACAATGCAATACAAGCGAGTTCATAGTATCTTTTTATGGCCATTAGTTATTATGTTATTCGCAAGCCATATGTGACTACTTTCCTATTGTTAGATTATACAAAAATATTAAAACCAAGATAACTCTTGCTTAATCGAATGATATTCTCATTATGTCAAAAAAACATAAAAATTATATAGCCAATATAACATGAAAAGTAACATTATAATACATTCTTCCTCACAATTTTGATGGACTAGAACCCACAACGAAGGTGAAAACTTTATTCACAATTTTTGGCAATGTCTCTCCGAATCGAAACGTGTTCAATATAATCTTGAAACACTTTTGAATATAGACTTAGTGTGACTGTATAAGCTTAGACCGCGCCTTGAATAGTAGCGTGCAGAGAGCAGATTCTGCTCGTACCCTTATCTGCCGTTGTCAACTCGTAAATGACAAAAAACCGCAAACAGAATTGGCTAAGTAGTGAGGCCCATTATCAACCAGTGTTTCGGGAAAGGCTGTTTGAAATTTATTGTTAATTTGTCTTCATGTATGTAAGTAGTAAGTATATAATTACACGGGCAATATTCAGGTTGGTTTTGTGTACCTAATTTCGATGGCATTTTTTATTATTTAAGTGTACATCTTGATGTTTCTGGCTACTACACTTGAATATTATATTTAATATCATATAATACACTTCATAATAATAAAATAAAGAAATATGAAGCAACACCACATTAAGTAGCTAAAGCACTTGTGTTATGGAAATCGGAAACAACGACGGTACCACAAACACCCAGACCCGAGACAATTTTTTTTTTAACTTTTTTGAATGCTAAGTGATGGGACGAAGAAGACGTCCGCCTGATGGTAAACGACACGCCTGTCTATAGCAGTTGCAGTGCCAAAGATCTGAGGTGCACTGCGTCTGCGCCCATCACTCTGAGACATAAGTTGAAAAGGCAACATGGGACAATGTAGGAAAGTTTGTTTTTTTCGACATTGACCCTGCGGGGAATCGAGCCCGGGACCTTAGAAATAGTGACACTTTGAAAACCAGTGTGCAAGCCATCCGACCACGGAGACCGTCAGTATAATATTGTAGAATATTGAAATAATAAAAATTAGCTTTGAAATCAGGTAGTGAAAGCTATCTTGAAAATTACCCACACACAGTTCTTCGATGGATAGCTCTTCTCTGCTACGCTTTAGTAATGCCTATGATAGAGCTGAGGGAAAATAAATATATCTTATATAAAATAAATCTCTCTTCCCGCGCTCTAAGTCGCGCCTAAGGCGCGGAATAGCTTAAACAATCAGACTAAATAAAAAGTTTTATTTAACAGACACACGTATCTCTCTACCTACATGGCATTCATTTCCATCACATCGAAACATTTGGACTAGCTTTCTTAATTACGTAACTATAAAGCCGACATCCTAGTAATTAAACAAAACTAGTCGCGTAATTCATATCAACTACGCTTACTCACAACGGTACAATCCGTTTCAGTATAAAATAGTATACAATGTTAAAATGTATGTGTTAACTAGAGCGAATATTACGAACTATTAATTATTTACAATTGAAGACAATTCTATTGCCCTCGGACTTACGTACCTACATAAATTCATTAACTACACGACAATACGCAGCTGATTATAAAGATGTTGGCAATATACCGATTGTTGTAGGTGTCAATGGCATTCAACAAAATATATCCTGAATAATCAACATCAAAACGCGATGTCCTAATTTGTTCTAACTTATTCAGGTATATATCCAATTGAATTTATATAGGGTTTATGTAGTTACTAAATAGATAAAAAACTAAAGCAAATGCACAAACAAGGCGATCAATACAAACGATATTTTGTGATGGTTCGACGTGATATCTAACATGCGGTGATCCCGAATCATATACATTAAAAGTCGTAAATAAATATGCACATAAAGGAAAATTAATAATTTATATTTACAATTAAGAATATATGGCACATCTTTAACGTTATCGACCGCGCTCGCTTACCGTTCCCATCCGAACGATCGAGCCTTACTTGACTAATACTAAACAATCGGTTGGATCCCCAATATCGCCTTTTAACCTGGTCTAAAATGTACTTGACAACTTAACAGAGAATGCTAATGAAACTTTAAAAAATTACTATAGGGTATATATTTATACATTCATTATTATGCTTTGAAAAAGAACAGTTCCAATTCAATATAGGTAGTCTCTGTTAACTTGGTATCAAAATTTATATAAATGCCAATTGTACGTTAGGATCGATATGGGGCAATGTTGGTTAATGTTCATATATAATGCGCGTATTACAATTTTCGGGACATCAAATAATACCAATTACAATACCGGTGGGTAAGTATATTCAACGCCGTACAATAATACACAATAATAAGCTGGCGCGGACTGAGTATAATATCGTTTTAATTTGTTCTAAAAAATTTTCTTTTTCTTTACTATTTAGTGCGCGTGGTATGAAACAGTAAATTGCTGATAATGTCACAGACAGTAGGGCTGGCACGACAGGGCACGACTTGCGCGAGTGCGACATAACATATAGAATAGTAGTATGTCGCGCTTCATGTCGCTCTGTCGCACGACGCGGCCTGTCGTGCTAGCCCGACAGGTTCGTTTAAATTTTATATAAAGTCGCAAGTCGCGCCAGCAGTAAAGCTACACCGTCGATCGACTCCGTCACCGCGCGGCCGACCGCCGCTCTCCACCGACTTAAACTAGACACATTCGAATCGCACGAGTACATAAAAATATATCAGTCTATAGAGCGAAGCGTTCACTCACTTAGCCTACGAGCAGTCTGGGGTAGACGCAAAGTAGGATCGGGAGCAGTAGACGCATAACATCGCAAACGCCTCACTCGAACATAGTGCTGTCGTGCAGTCTTACGCAGATTGGAAAGTTACCTGCGAGCCCGCGTAATTATGCACCGGACAAAGCAAGTCCGGGCTCTCTATAATACCGAATTGTTGAGTAACGCGGCTGAATAGTGCGTGTACTGCTCCCTCCGTACTGCGGTAAAGACGGGCGGTTCGGCGCGCCGCTCAGCTGGGCGGGTGCGTGTGCGGGTGCGCGCGCTGCCGGCGGTGGCGAGTGCACGCGCAGCACGCGTCGCCTCGCCGTCGGCGCACGCATGCTGCACGACCACAACGTTTCCGTACACATGTTACTTCTCCATCCTGAGAAACAACGTTACACTTAAGTTTTATTTGTTTTTATGAAACCAAGAGACGGGTAGAACAAGTCGTAAGCGACACGCCATATGACCAAAGTTGCAGTGCCCCTCAGAGCTTTAAATCGCTAGGATCTGAGGGGCACTGCCACTGAGCCCGACACCCTGAAACATTAATTAACAAGTCCCATGTGCCTATGATTTCACCAGCGCCCTTACCCTTCGAAACCGGAACATAGTAACGCTCATATTAACTGCTTGGCGACAGAAATAGGTAAAGTGGCAGTAGTCTAAGGTTACATTATCGTAGTTGTGAAGTCATGTCAGATTATAGATACGTGGGGATCAATCTCACCTTGCAGCGGCAGGTCACGCAGCGCTGCTCGCCATGCGAATGTATTGAAGGGTGGACTTCCTTCCCATTGGGCAATGGCCCGTCTGGGAATTTGCACCCTCCTTCGGCAAGAATCTCTTCAGCGGTTCGCGGCGCTGCTTGATCTTTTGGAGTTTCTTCTTCCGGCTTTTTCGATTTTACCTGCAAAATTAACTATTTGTAGCTTTTCCAGTGGATAACTTCCTCAATTCGTCTTAGAAGGCATTCCGGGTAAAAGGTACCGTATCATTTGAAGTAACACCCTTGCGTTTACATACATCAAAAGTGTCTAGGAATCCAGCACGTTTTTGCCAATTACTGATAATCAGGGTTTTGAATAAATTGTCTTTAACACCGATAGATTTTTTTGGTCAATTTTAGAATTTGAATTTCAAAGTGAAATTAACCAAAAAATATCCATGGGTTTTGAAGAAATTCATTAAAAAACTTGATTTTCTATAATTAGCAAAAACATGCATGATTCCTAGACACTTTGATGAGTGTATAAAATAATTACACAATGATGACAATTTAAGAGTCGATACTACCTTAGCTCGAATTAAATTTTTTCCCCTACTAATACGGTTCGTTTTGCTTGAATCGAGCGCCAGAGACACTGTCTTTATTTCAAAATTAATTTTTTTACAAACGAAATTAAAGCCATTTGAAAAATGTATATCGTATGCTATAACGTGTTCTATACAGTGCAGTTGATATAAACAAAAATCGTTGGTATATGTAAAGTACCTATTGAATACAGCAGTTTTTTGTAAAATTTCGAGGTAAGTTTGTTTTTCTATCATGAAAATTTTTAGGAATCATATTTTTATACCATCTAGTCATTGACTTACAATTATATGGACGTCGGGTCCGCGCTAAAAAGTGTCCGCACTTGTAAGGCGCTAAAATCGTATACAGAGCGCGTCACTCCGCTTTAGTCTTCATTTGTTCTACTGACAGCGCCATACTGCGATGACATTACAATTTAAATTTCGAATAGGTTGACTTGGAACATTTTTTTCGTGGTTTTTGTATTAGACCCGTCGTCGTCCATTTATTTGTAAGTCAATGCATCTAGTAATCAGTGTATCCTCAGTTTTGTTCAATATTTTTTCCAAAGTAATTGATTCAACACTTTCGCTATTATGCGGAATCAACCAAAGCCATTTAAGGTAGTATAGATCCTTAAGAAACTATACAGTGGAGATAGCCATAGAAAATATGAAAATGACGTCACTCTTCTGCCCCGAAACCTTCCTTAGTAAATATTATTTATAGTATTTCGATTGCATCTACTTCATATCGTATCTATGGCATACACTGTAATGCTTGCCATCGTGGTGAAAGGGTTTCCCAATCGGCGTAAGGTACTCGCCGATTGCTGCCCAGTTTTTACCAGACGTACAGGACAGGAATGTGTACTGTAGTCTAAGTTCTACTCTATGAGTAGAAGTACTGGCTGAATGAATTTAGATTTGTGTATTAGTTTAGAATGTATTTAAAAAAATTGGATAGAAAAAAGAAGAAAATCTTGGCAAGTCTAGACTAAGATTCCAAATTTAATACACGTTTGCAGTTATATTTTATGAATAATCGTCGTTTCTCTTATAAAAGTATCTCTCGCAAAGCTACCTGAGAGACGTTATGACCTATAAATGGTGGAGGCGAGCCTATAGTACGTCGTGGGAAGATTCTCCTTTCGTGCACCCCCAATTGGACAATATTGCTTCTGAACCTTCGCAACTAAATTCTAAAACCTATTTACAGGTGTCGTGAGCAAAATTGATAATATATCATTGGTCATAGTTTCTCAAATTGGTCCCTACCGCCCAAGTGGGCGCTGAAGAGTCCTAGGTTGCAATTGGCGGGAGTTGATGCTATCCAGGAGGTGTTACCGAATTTGAGAAAAAAAACCTGGATTATCTGTATGTATAAACTATACTACAAATATATTATTTTTTCCTTTTGATTTTATGTTAGTTTAAGTTAAGTTATTAACACAAAACTAACTTAAGATTTAAGTTAGTTTTGTGTACTTAAGATTTAAGTTAGTTTTGTGTTAATAAAAAATAAGTGTTTACAATTATTTTTTTTGTGTTGATGGGCATTGAAATTTTTTTATCTTGCCTAAGTGGGCGGTGAGACAAAAAGTTAGGAAACCTATGATACAGATTTATAATCCAACCGGAGGAAAGTGGAATGATAAGTAATAAGTGAGATTCATACCTCTGGGCAAACTTTGCAACAAGATTTCTTATCAGGTCTGTAAGCATCTTTATCAGCACATTTCAACGGTGGGCATCGTATTCTAGGGCACTTCACTTGTCTTGTTGGAAACTCGCACGTGCAAATGGCGCAAGTGTCGAATCCTCCTGGCACAAGATATGGATGCCACGAGGATCCTGGAGCGTGATACTGACCAGCGAGATGACAACCGTGGGACTCATTCCAGACTGCAGTTGTTGAATCTAAAATAGAAATAAAAAAGTTTATTTTTATGATACCTACCTAGTTATAGAACGAACAAGTCGTGCGCCTGGTGGTAAGCGACACGGCTGTCCATAACAGTCGCAGCCTTATAGACGCCTTAAACCGCAAAGAGCTGAGGGGCACTGCCACTGCGCCCGTCACCTTGAGACATTTGTTAACAAGTCCCATGTGCCTGTAATTTCACCAGCGCCCTTACCCTTCAAAACCAGAACATAGTAACGCTCATATTACTGCTTGGCGACATAAATAGGTAAAGTGGCAGTACTTCCCTGGACGAATACTTTCACAAGGAGCTCTAGCTACTAAAAATAAACTTTATAATATGTACCAAAAAGAAACTTCAAATAGTTTCCGTATTTGTATTAAAGTGAACTTACTGGTACAAATAGGGCAACATTGTCCCAGAGGCTGTATGATGGGCACAGCACAGCTGATGGGCGGACATCGCATAGGCTCGCAACGCACCAAACCATGGAAGCATCCGCACATATGACAAGACTGGAATAACAACATTCCTTCTCAATACAAAGAAAATGTTAAAAAAAGGTATACAAAATATTTTTTATTGCAAAATATGAACCAGGCAAACATTGAGGTCCAAAGTTATAATAACTTCTTAAGAGTTGATACTACCTCAGCTCGAATCAAAGTTATTTCCGTACTGAATAGGTTCTATTGCGAGGGTCGAGTGGCTGGGACACTGGCTTTATTTCAGAATTTTTTTTTTTTACAAACGAAGTTAAGAACATTTGAAAAATGTACATCGTATAGATATAAATATACATGTTCTATTTAGTTCAGTTGATATAAAAAAATAATAATTGGTATACATAAAGTACCTATTCAATACAATGGTTTTCTTGTACAATTTCGAGGTTAAGTTTGTATTTTTCTTCTATCGTGAAAATTTTTAGTAATCGTGCTTTCACACCATATACCAATCAGTGTATATTCTCAATTTTTAACCGACTTCAAAAAAGGAGGAGGTTCTCAATTCGACTGTATGTTCTTTTTTTTCTCTTTTTTTTACTCCGGTATTTGTGAACCGATTTTCATGATTCTTTTTTGTTGGAAAGGGGGTATTTCAATAGTGGTCCCGTTTCATTTTGAAGAAAATCATCCACCTCGAAGGGAGGCTGTTCACGCAGGAAGATTCACTTTTATAAATAGCACCTAACTTTAATTTAGGAGCAATTACTTTAATGGTTGATTTTGCTATTTCTCCAATGCAAGGCGTTTTTCTCTCGATATACTTTGAGTAGTGAGAACCGATTTTTATTATCTCCAGTGTCGAGTCCTGTATAGTGGCGAACTAGGGGATATTCCAATAAAACTTTGCAAATAGACGTAATTCCACGTACTTTTGAGGTCGGTTTTTTTAGTACTCTGTACTGAAATTATACTATGTATTTTTTCGAAAGTAATTGTTAATTCAACACTTTTACCAAAACCATTTGAGGTTGTATCGACTCGTAAGGTTAATATACATTGCCTTTAATGATATTGAATAATGAACTTTGTATCTAGTTTGTACGTTACGCAATTAACAAAAATGTATTATGCTATGTTTACAATTCATAACAAAAAATAAATGCAAATTAGCAATGTAAATTGAGCCTAAAGACTCTCTGTAATCATTTTAAAATTATCCTTAAAATGACTATTGCATAAGAACCGATATAGGAATATGCAAAAGTACCACAATAAACTTTACACTTTTGCACATTAACTTTCGCTTTTTTGTTTTTTTTTTAACGAACACACTCATAGCCCCGCTTTAGGGAAACCCTGTATTGCGGGTGCCATGGACACACACACAAACAACCACTAATTACACTCACGAGAGAAACACATGTAGGCCATAAAAATATTTCTCCCGGCCCGGGAATCGAACCCGGGACCTCTGCGTGGCAAACGAGCATGGTAACCGTTCGGCCATCGAGGCAGTTGTTCTCGTGGGTTATTTGAACGCACGGATTCTAAATAGTTAGTTAAGACTTCGATCTCTCTACCTCAGAAGCCATCCATTGAGCGCCATCTTCGTAAAGCCTTCCAGCGTAGTTACAGGAAGCAGAGTAGGACAGTGAGTTGTCAGGCGGTGATGAGTTCACTTGCGTTGGTGCATGGTTGGCGTTCAATGCATTGTCAAACCATAGCACTGTTGGCAGACACGCGGGAGGTACACTTATCTGAAAACAAAATTAATAGTAAAAATTAATTTCAGTCAATCTGCACTTGTCGACGTAGAATCGCCTAAAATTGGAATTCTACTCCCGTTCTTCGACATCCGTCGGAAACATGTACTGTCAAATAAGTAATACTCGACCAAATTACAACACGCATGATGCGAATGAAGCGTCATTATTTGATATTGTTTTTTAATCTGGTCGAGTATTACTCATTTGACAGCAATTGTTTCGGATAGATATCAGGCGCAGAACAGGAGTAGACCCCCTGATCCGTAAAACTTAAGTCCATAAAAGACATACGTTTGACCTATGTTGAGTCACGTTTTTCGTCGTCGATAAAGTCTTTTTCGCACGTATTTGTTGGACATGGAACTTTCTGATCAGCTTCTTTTTTATAAAATATAAGTTCGCGTTTGACCTCCATCTCATCTGATGAAAAGTGACGATGAGGTCGACGATGGAGGATGCACACCTAAGTAATGCCTATTCACTCTCGCCCTGAAAAGACCCAAGTTATAACGTTCAGGGAACAAGTCTGCAGGCAGGGAACTCCACTCCATAGCCGTTCGCCATATAAAAAAAGTGAAAGCGTAACGCTTCGTGCGAATCTTTGGAATATAAGGGTGTACAATGTAAGGATGTAACCCAAGCCTACGCCTAATCCCCCGGTGATGGAAAGGGGAAGGCGGAATTAAATCGTGTAATTCCATCGCAAACGGTTCACCGTGGACTCTCGACAAGACTGGATTTCCTCGCCACTGACCTTTGCATTGGTCAAGTGCCTATCTACAACAGTGCTGTCATCAGCATATGCAAAGGTACCTGAAATTAACATATCACAGATACGCAGCAGAAAGAGAGTTACAGACAGTACGAAACCCTGAGGAACTCCGTCATCTATCGCCATATGTTCGGAAGTGTAGCCTTCTAAGACCGCTCGAATCGAAAGTTCACTCAAGAAATCCGAGATCCAATTGCAAAGGTCAGTGGGAAGCCCATAAGAGGGAAGCTTACTTAAAAGGCTTGCGTGCCAGACCCTGTCAAAGGCTGTAGAAATGTCCAAAGATATTGCAAGAGCTTCGCCTTGCTTTTCTATAGCCTCGCTCCATATGCGACAGGCATACACAAGAAAATCTTAACTGCCTCCTTGGCCGAACGGTTACCATGCCGGACTGCCACGCAGAGATCCCAGGTTCGAATCCCGGGCCGGAAGAAGCATTTGTATGGCCTACATTTATTTCTCCCGTGAGTGTAAGTTGTGGTTGCCTATGTGTGTGTCCATGGCACCTGCGACTCAGGGTTTCCCTAGTGCGGGGCTATGTTGAGTGTGTTCGTTATTATTATTATTAATTAAATACACAAGAAGATCCCCAGTAGATCGCCCTCGTCGGAATCCGTACTGGCGATCACTAAGGAGGTCGTTGTCTTTGAAAAAAGGAAACGGTTTGGTACACGTTCCATAGTCTTGCAGAGTATGGAAGTGACTGAGATAGGTCTATAGTTGACAGGGTCAGCTCTACTTCCCTTTTTTGGTACAGGTTGCACATTTGAAAGCTTCCACGACCTGGGAACTACACCAGTCTCAAGTGAGAGGCGGTACAGTTTTTTTATGATACTAAGTGACGGGACGAATAAGTCTTGCGTCTGGTGGTAAGTGACACGCCTGTCCACAGCAGTTGCAGTGCCACTCAGAACTTTAAATCGCAAAGACTAATTTAAAAAAGTTGATAAGTCCCGTGTGCCTGTAATTTCACCAGCAGAATCCTTACTTTTCAAAACTTCCTTTTTTCCTAGGTGAATAAAGTGTGAAGTGACCGCAAGGAAAAACTAAATATTTTTCAATTTAATTTCTTTACACTTTATTTTCTCGGTTTCGAGTTTTTGTCACATGTACCCTTTTAACGACGGCAGAAGTGCTCATATTGCTGCTTGGCGGCAGAAATAGGTAAGATGGCAGTACTTCCCTAGTCGAACTCTTTCACAAGGAGCTCTACTGCTACGACTCTACGGGTCCAGCTTATTCCGCATTAATAAATGTGGTGATTTCGCAAATCTAAATCTATGCATAGTGCTGTAATAAGTAACTTACCTTGAAACTTCCAAGAACTTGAAAGCATTGGAAGATAAAGAAAAATCAGTAGGTAAAGTTATTAACCCGAAATGTCCATATTTTTTAAATAGCAACTTCGTACAAATAAAACACATATCAAACGTATTTAGAGGTCAAACACATTCTTGTCTATTACTGAAAATCAATTTAATTATTATTTTTCAAAGTGATAGATTTTTTTCAATTTTATAATTTGAATTTAAAAATGAAATTGACCAAGACCTATCCATTAGCGTTAAAAAAATAACAAACAAATCTGATTTTCAGTAATTAGCATAAACGTGCTTGATCCATTGAAATTTTTTATGTTTTGATCCTGCAAGTATTACAGGATTATTATTATAATTAAGTATTAGAAATGAAACTATTATTTCGAAATCGCTTATATTTGTTTGGTCAATCAAACGTTTCGGACCTTTTACAGGTCCTATTCTCACGGCTGAATGAAAAGATAAAATCATCATCGACTTATATCTAATATTAATGCAAACCACCCAGTTTTTCACCTTACTTACAAAAATTAGTAATTTAAATACCTTTATATTAATTTACCAATTACAACATAAAACGAGAAAACATAGTTTAATTTTTAATGTGTTACAAATAATCGCGGAAAACCTAAGACAACTATTAATTTTTTACTGACTTCAAAAAAGGAGGAGGTTCTCAATTCGACAGTTTTTTTTTATATAATATGTTACGCGATTTGGGAACTAATTTTAATGATTATGTTTTTGTTGGAAAGAGGGTACCCCAGTACTGGTTCCATTGAAATTTGAAGACAATATTTCACCTGTATGGATGTCAAACTAGGGGATGAAATTGGTTTCGCGCACTTTCCGGTGACCAATTTCAATAAAACTTGGCAAATAGTTGTAATTCTATGAACTTTTGAGGTCGGTCTTATATTTTTATAAAAAAGTTGTAAATTTTTTAATACCTGTGGTAATCGCGTACGCATCAATTGCGTGTCATTGTTATCAGCTGGACGTAAGTCAAGGTACGCCGCGCCGGCATGAAGAGCCGCAAGTTCTCCAGGAGTTGGCTCCAGTACACAACCCTCAGCGCCGGCAAGGTTTCGAGACCCTCCACCACTGCCTGTATGGGTTTCTAACCAGGGTGTCCACGCGCTTGTCATACCAGATACTACCACCTGTAACAGCAAGACAATATACTTTAAAAATCGACCGTAAATGTCGCATAAAACCACAGTAAAGTCATCATTATCAGTCTGTTGCAGTCCATAGGCCTCCCCCAATGTGCACTATCATTGTATATTGCGCAGTTCATTGTGGGGATAAAGCCCATAAATTCCTCACACTGGGCTTGCGGGTAACTTAGTTAAATACAGCAGATTGTATCATGAGTAGAGTAGGTTGACTAAAGAATATCTATTGATATTCACTCATAGCTGATATGACAGGCGCGTCGTATGGTTACGCTAAATTCTTTAACCTATACTCTGATTTATTCATACAACAGCCAGATGTATAACCACATAAAGTCACTTAAAAAATAAACAAAAAAAGTATATAAAAAAATTATAAAAAAATCCTTCGGTCCGGCCTGATTCGAAAAAATCGAAAAACAAAGATCCGACAAACAAGCACTTAGAAAAAATAGTGAGGTCCGCTGGTTCGTTCCGTGGCTTAGTTGGCATAGCATGTGGCACGGTTTGCTAGAAGACGTCGGTTCGAATCCGGCTGGATCGAAGAAATTTTTTCTAAGTGTTCGATCTTTGTAATTAATAATTACAACAAACTAGTAATTTCACAAAAAATGATTGAATATCAATTCAATACAAATTTAAATATTGTTTATTTCAGACATCATCCATAATAATATTAGATGTTTATTAATAACGATTTGTCCTCATATTAGCTTAGTACGTAATTCATTATTTATGAATTTAAAATCAAAAAGGAGGGCACAATATAATCATTCCGAAACCGTTAGTGCCGGACATGGATAATACCCCTTTGAGTAGTTCCATCCAATATTTGAGAACGAGACTCTCACCCCTATCCGCAATAATCTTCAGGACGCTGTTGGTGCTGCAGCGCAATTTTCAAATCTGGAAGTTCGAATTTATGCGTAAAAATTCGAACTTCCAGATCGCGAAGAAATCGTCAACGCGTCAACCTCAACAAAGCCCTAAAGATGTTATTGCACTGTACGCGCAGATCGCCGTAGTTTGATACCTGTTGTATGAAATCCACAGAATGCTAATTTTAGCTTATAATAAAATACATAACCACTGAGAACCATAATATGACCTAAATCAAATCAAGTTACCTCGTAATGCAGTCCACATAGAGCGTCAACAGATAGCCAAGCTAAACCGGCTACTGGAGTAGCAGTGGCTGGAACTCGCGCGTCGGTTCGTCTCAGTAACGCCGGCCCAGAACCTGCAGCGTCAGGCAATGGTCTTGAAGTGAGCCGCCCGCGGAGTATTGGAGGTCCTGTGAAAGAATTCATGCTTTTTTAACCGACTTTAAAAATAAGGAAGTTTTCAATTCGACGGTATTCTTTGCAAGTATGTTACGCGATAACTCCGGCCATTTGTGAACCGATTTTGCTGATTTCTTTTACTGTGAAAGAGGGTACCTTAGTATTGGTCCCATTTAGATTTGAAGAATATTCTACCTCTAAGAGTGGTAAACTAAGGGATGAATCCGGTTTCGCGCACTTTCCGGTAACCGATTTCAATAAAATTGGGGAAATAGATGTAATTCCACGAACTTTTGAGGTCGGTATTTTTAACACTCTGTACTGAGATTATTAAAGTAATTGAACTTTTATTAAAGTAATTGAAATTGTTCTTGACCACTACCTAGACCTGGAGGAAAGATAGTATCTACGATGGAACGAGCTTACCCAAAAGTTGCCTATTCAGTTGTACCTTAGAGATACTCGGGTTGTATGTGCTCAGAAACAATTACAGACAGGGAATTTAATTCCTGGGCTTTACGCATAATAAAAGACGACGTAAAGTGCATAGTACGACATAAGGAAAAACCGGCCAATTAAGGACGATATCCGTACGTCTGAGTGTCCGATGGTAAAAGAAGGCGAGCGAGCGAGCTTCATGGCGCACATGAAAGTTTCTCTAGTGGCTTTAAAAGTATATTACATTACGTATAATACTATTTTTTATGTTATCAAGTGAGAGACGAACAAGTCGTGCGCCTGATGGTAAGCGACTCGTTTAGACAAACGCAGTGGCCGAATTGCAATAATGCTCACATTATTGCTTGGCGACAGAAATAGGTATGGTGGTAGTCATCTTTCACATGAAACTACTGCTACTAAGTAAATCTCTCAACATTGGTGGTACATTCAAGTGCCTTATGAACCCTACTTAAGGTTTTGACCCTCACTCGGGCATTGATATTATTATAACATTTACACAACAACTTCAACCTGATAGGTATAAGAAGCTTGTATTTAGCAACGAACCCTTACCAGCGTCACCACCAATATGGACTGTTAACTGCTCATCATACAGTGGCGGAAAGATTCGAGCACTTGGTCTGGCTAGAACACCCATTCTCGTATCCAGAATTTCCACTTGAGAGTGACGTTTTCCTTGCTCCTCTACCAAAGTTATTTTCGGATCGGTTATTCCTAAGTTGTCTACCTGAAAATTTACATTTTAAAACGAATTTAATTCACTAAAAAGGTAATCGATATATTGTTTTTTTCTTCCATATGTAATTACAATGGTTTGTTTATTGACGTAGGTGCTCTACTTATTCTATTTTTATTTATTTTATTTAATAGTTTATTGTACAGGAAAAATACAAGTCACAAAGAATACAAGCGAAATTAACAACAAAAGGTTCTGCTAGGTTATGTAATTTATATCTCTTCAATATGAATAACAACGACGCGACGTTCTTAAATTATTGTAATTATGAAAGCATAAACTTACCTGGATGTCATAAACAAGCGATCCTTCCTTATCAATATAAACCATAGCCAACCCTTCGGGAGGTGGAGATGCTGGTGCCCTTTCCGCTAACAAAGGTGTATGGAATACTTCACAGGCAGCTCTCTGTCCCACCGAACCAATTATTCTTCTTTCAGGAGTTCCCACAGCTTCGACTGCAAGGAGTAGACGGCCGCGTACCAGAGAACGTAGCTCAGCAGCCGATACTGGCGTCGAGACTTCGAGGACATTAAGTTCGTAACCGGGTTTGGGAACTTTTTGAACCTGAAACGGTCACCACAAAATTAAAAATTAGCTATTTATGCTCTGGCCACACAGACAGAGGCAGAAGCGGGAGCATTCCGGGCGCGGGAATTTTTGTAATGTTCGAGTTCTTATGGATCTTGCCACATTGAAACCGATGGCGAGCGCTGTCCGAGGCCGAACGCTATGACAAACAGGCGGACCGGGTGCGAGATGGGCGCGTGACGTACTCTGAGCGGGTGCAGGCGCGGAAGATATATATATTCTATTGAGTACTATGCAACCGTCCACACACACACGTCGCCCACATACCGCCTTTCCCGCTGTATCGCCTCTGTGTGGCCTGAACTTAATTGCTATTGCACAAAAAAAAGGCTGATTGGGCTAATTACCTCATCGATAATAGTCTGATTCTTTTCAGGTAACGTCAACAAAACCCTCACAGCCTGGTCTCTTGCATTCGGTCCAAAAATTCCGTTGTACACCAACGCCAAATACAAACTTGGAGCTGCACCTGCGGCTCCCGTAACTACAACGGTTCCTCCCCACCACCCCTCTTCTTGCCCAGGCACACGGAAGTCATCACAAGCGCCAATACCAAAAGAATCCGGAGGATGTTCTGGCTCTAACAAAGACGTGAACATCTCTGAAGATAAGGCTGGATATCTGAAAGTTAAAGACGTGATAGATCATATTAAAGTTAGTTAATGCTAATCTCAAAATCAAACATAGTAAGTTTCCAAAGAACAAGTATTATTCCATGTGAGCCGTCAGTATTTACTGAGCTTCTGACGATGGGAAATACCGATACATTTCCCATCGTCAGAAGCTCTCGCAATAGAGGAATTTTCCGTCCTTAATCACATGGTTAATTTAATTTACAATCTTCGACAAGCGTACAGCTCACACTAGATGATTGTTTCAAGAATACCGTCTATCGGTCCATCTAACAGGGGCGCGTCTCAGACGCATATACATACGTGTACACCTACATACTTCTTACATTCGTCGGTGTTTACAAATTTCACAGACACGTTAATTGTTTGTTTAGAGCCCTATTGCTATAGCTTTTCTCTCGGCTATTCATTTCTTCATAAAGTTACGAAATAAGTTTACAAACTATTTTTCCAACATGATTGACCAATCAGTGTCAGCTACCTATTAATGCGGCCAATCAAAGCGCTATCCATCGAGTTGTTCTTCTCATCACCCCATATCAGTGCGACGTACAGAGAGCCTTCTCTTAACAACCGCTTATATTCCCGAGGCACTCGGCGCCAGACGCCGCATAACTGTAAACAAGTCAATTCATTAACATTTGCAACCGATAGAAGTATTACTCGAACTACAATAACTGTAAGTAAGTAGAATTTATAGGTGGTGCATCTTTATGGCATTATGAGGTTAATGGATAGACAACTAGGCAAATATAGATAACAGTAGAATAACAGCTATTCGAAACGCTACATATTTATTGCTGTATTGCGTGACAAGTACGAATTTCGATTTCTGATTCTTAGTCTAAATCTTGTCTACTTTTGAATTAATTAATTTACCTTATCGGTTTTCTCTTCGTAAGTAGCGTGAATCCCAGGGGCTTTTTTCAAAGGTTGTTCAAGTAATAGTCTTCCACCTCTGTCAAGAAACGCGAGCGCTCTAGGTTGAGCCATTGTGGGTCCCAGAATAGCGGACCAGTAGAGATGTCTGCGGCGGAACGTGAATCGCGCTGTGGCCACACCTGGTGCTACGGGCACGCCTGTCATGTCGTCGCGCCTGATGCACAGCGGCGAACGACCGGTTAGCAAAGCGCCGAAATCTATTAAATGTTGAAAATTCATTTAATGCAAATTCGATGACAAACAGACTGCTTTATTATATAATACTCACGTTTCATACTAAGTTCTTCCTCGTCGGTATTGGTAATAACTACAGCAGTCGGACTATCATCTTGCAGGACATCGGGCGCTAGAACAAGAAAATAATATTTCTTAAATTTTACTATTAATAAATTAATGGTAAAAGTACCTATAGTAATCGAAACTACTAATTACAGCGACTCATGAAACGGATTAAACTGGAATTTCGAGTCTCTCATTCTGGAGTAAGATACAATTTAATAGATACTTTGTGCACCAGTTTTACGACGAGATATAAACTTACCAGTTCACTCGTAACCTACAGCGCCATTTACGCGCAATAGTATTAGAAGTTACTGGACATATGCGAATGTATATGTTAGTATATGGTCCCCGCTAGCACTTTCTCCGAGTTCTGCAGTTGATCATAAAAACGTAACGTTAGATCAATTGAAGGGGAATGGAATCAAGCCGAAGCGACGGTTGATTCGCAAGACCCCGACCCCTTCATTCGGGTTGATTGGATCAAACGTTATTCAATCGTAGCAGGACAGGCGTCTAGACGGCGACGGTAGAATTTGCGTTTTGCATAGCTTTCTTGTTGGGTCTGCTCTCGACAGAAATAGAGAGAGCACTGACATTTCGCGCGACAGTTTGATTGTGCCCGATTAGTCGATGTCTGCTCGTTAAGTGCTAGTAAACCCTCTTTGAATCAGTACAATGTTTGTTTATCGGTTTATTAAATTTCCGCATCCATTACTCTGGCCTGCAGGGGATTTATGAACGCCGTTGTGTATTTCTGGGAGATTACATAGACTATTTATTTGTGTAGATATTTGTGTAACAATTTATATGCAATACGTGTCGTAAAATCTACTATTAATATGTAAATTTAATAGGATTAGTAATAGGATAATAGCCTTGATTGATTGAAAATTGCTTTTAATCTAATAATTTCTGTGCACGCTCTAAAATTCAAATTATTAAATTGATAATTTATCTTGAGTTAAGTCCTGATTAGGTTGGTATCTAAGAGATGCCAATTATGTGTCTTCACCGAGGAGCTTCATGACGTAGGTAATAAATAGTCGGACCTAATAAATCGTTTTATCTGATTATTTGTCAGTTAGAGGACGAGACGTTATGTACGCAGTGCACCCAACGGTTTCAAATAAAACAAAATTAATTAAGACTTATTTCTTCAGTTGACATTTCCTAAGTCAGATCGTAATCTAGCACAGGCCACCGCGCTGATCATAATTAACTCGGTAGGTTTATTAATGCCGGGGATCAACCCTAAATTTATTGGCAAATGGCGCTTGCGGTACGACAGACTGCAGATTTACAAGATAATATATAATAGAAGACAACGGCGAGATGATCTTGTTGATCTTCAAATCTAATAATCTAAAACACAGAATAAACAGAAAAATAAAATATTGTAAAAGTTCAAGTTTACCTTTATGTAAAAGATTATAACATAAATATTATACCGAAAGTAACGTAACATAACACAAATTACGTATATCTTTTGAAATAATTTTAAGATCATTCATGAACCTAGTTTTTTTTTTAATTAACAGTTAACGAAAATATTGAAATTTGTATATAAAAACATAGTTCACCATCTACTACTAGTTACTCTGTGCTTAGGTCCGGGTGGCGCCAAGGCACCTTTGACTCGGCCAGGCCCAACCCGGCGCCCGCGTACACCCCGTGCCTGTGTGTGTGATGAATATTTATACACACTTCGATCACTGATCCAACACCCGGCGCCCGTCCAACTAGCACCACGCTTAACGACGTTTAACGTAAATTTAATCTTTTGAAAGCAACCTTTACATGTGATGCGGCTGCAGTAGCGAATAAGACTGCTACACCTCTACTATGAGCTGTACAGTCCTGTAGTCGCTAGCGACAACGTGAAATATTTGTATAGTTAATTAAAATATGTATACCTGTTTATTTCGTTGACGCGTATATTTATTTAGTCAGCCATGGCCATGGGAACTGTAAAGAACCCGAAAAGTTGGTTTATTTGAAAAAACAAATATACGAGATTCCAAAAAAAGTAAATAAATTTTTCAATGTGCAGTAATCTCGAAAACCATAGAACTCGATAAAAATATATACATGGCAAATAAAAAAGAAACAAAGCTTATTCTGAGTTCCGTAGATTTCGATGCCTGTATAATTTGCCGTGCTACTATTGTTTACGGTCTCTACAGACGGTAGTCAATCATGCCCTAACATATTTAGGCTTGCGCAGTTTTCCAATCGCATGATGTAACCAGGCGCCGTATAGACGCTGCGACTAACTAGGTACTCTATATTTAGTCGAGTCGCCGCTATATTAAGCGGCCAATATTTCACGTATGCCAATCTTAGAAAAAATTATATTATACGTCAGGTACTTAAGGAGGTAGGTCTACTACAAACTATACTCACTAGTTGGCATAGCGTCTGACTTGGTTCGCTAGAAGACGTTGGTTCGAATCCAACCGGATCGAAGGAATTTTTTTTAAGTATCGATCGATCGATCTTTGTATTATTAATAAATAACAAAGTAGTGGTAATTTAAAAAAAAAATCAATAAATTTTATTACAATTATTAAAGCGAAATCTCTAGTCAGCTGCAACGTAAAGGTACCTGTAAAGGTACCTGGCTGAGTGAAGAAATAGATTTCTCACAGATGGCGCTACGTCACACGAAAGCCGTTTAAATCAAAAACAAAGATCGGCAACAAGCACATAGAGAAATTCGTGAGGTCTGCTAATTCGTTCCGTAGCTCAGTCGGAAGAGCGGTTAGCCCTCTAGCAAACCGGTGCCGGTTCCATTCCAGCCGGATCGAAGGCATTTCTCCTTGTGTTTGTTTGATGTTTGTATCAATAATAAATACTTAATCTTTTAACTATTAACTATGTACTTAAAATCTACTATCTATTTAAAACTTAATCTTTTATCAGAACGCACACGCAACTACTTTTCCATTATGGCTAAAATTTTAAAAGTAGTTTGTATAATAATAATAACAACATAGCCCTGCACTAGGGAAACCCTGCGGTGCAGGTGCCATGGATACACACATAGACAACCACAAATTACACCCAAACTCACGAGAGAAATAAATGTAGGCCATACAAACATTTCTCCCAGCCCGGGAATCGAACCTGGGACCTGAGTGTGGCTGTCCAGCATGGTAACCGTTCGGCCAAGGTGACAGTTAACATAAGTTAGTATAACATAACCAATCTACATACATAAAATTTATACACCAACTTATCTGTATTATGGACAATACAAGAATCGAAAATTGGTCACATTGAAAAACATCAAATGAAACATAAGTCACCACTGTTTTTAGGAACGTTTTATAGATGCGAAGATGTTATGAATATTACAGACAAACTGGTCGCTCTGTGCAATGCCTAAAACCGCATTTCTATATGTACATAACCTCATGATATTAAAGGTTACCGGTTACATCTTTCTATAATAAGGAATTCGTGAAGCAACCATTCGCAAATGAAATTTAAGTTGTGTGCGCAATCCGGTCACATTCGCAGAATCAATCGTTTGGGAACTAAATCTTTCTGGGTCAATGGATCTCTGATAATAATGGTAGTATATGATACTTGAAGAACACAAGAACAGCCATTTTTTATTACCTACTTTACTCGTCGTTGTCCAATTTTATTGAAGTACATATCGTATTTTTTTCGAGTGATGTTAACAGGTCCACTTGACGTCATTTCACGAACACAGGGGCAGAGAGCGCGAGCTCGCGCACTTGCTTTTATGAGGCACGTGACTTTAAAAGAACATTTCAGATCGTATTCAACCATGTTTTTATATATGTATTTAAAAAATTATAAATGTGCAGAACTACAAAAGTCGTTACCAATCTTTTTATAAACATGTGTATGTATTTTGAATCCTTGTATTCAAATTCTAAATATAAAATGTTTTTGGTGACTTTTATAGAATAGATTATATAATTTATTTCAGACCATGATCCATACTAATGTCAGTAATGCAGTAAAATTTTTCTTACGTGCTTTGGTTCGTACCATACAAAATGACTTAATGCTAGAAAATGTAAATGAAAATGTCACGGCTAGACCACCACCTTGCCCATTTATCGTAATCATCGAGTATATAACCAGAAATTGAGACGAAATATCATTTAATTTGTTTGAAAACTATTCTGCCATATCATTACTGTAACAACTGCGCTCCGATTGGCTAGCCCGAGTTCGAAACAATTGACGGGTGTCGTCATCTGTTTCACTTCAAATCGACCAGTAAACTTGAGCTTTGCTATAATGGACGAAAATTGCAAAATTACATATTTAATATTTAATTACCGATGAAATGTGATTCCGTTTGTTTTGTAATTAGATGTTTTGCTGTTTTTCCCACACCACCGAATGGAACAGCCTCCCGTTGTTAGAGATATTATCTTATTACATTAAATACAGAATATTTTTTAGAATATACGGCGACGTACACACAGGTCAGTAGTTGGCCTGTCTATGTTTCAGTGCAAACGGGAGTTGATATTTATAAGAGCTGTATCGCTAATGTGTTACACGGAATATATAGCCCTTATTTCGTCTCTATTTCTGGTTATATACTCGATGACTGATTAATAATCACTATTATAAATAAGTCTAATACACTACAGTTGGACTAGGTTTTATTTTGTATCTGGCAGTTTACGGTGTGCGTTTGTGCCATTGCAATACAGGGAAATAGTGGAAAAGACAAATAACTTAAGAGCGAGCAGAGGAAAAATTCCTAATCTTCGATTTGATTTTAAAGGGGTATATCCACTTTAAAGTTAAAAATAAAATATTGCATGAGTAACTACACGATATATTCAAGCATAGACATTAATCAGAAACATAAAACAATAAAGTTTCATCGATAGATAAAAATCACGAAATGACCTCTAATTTTCACATTTTTTCGATTTATCCTCGAAATACTACAGGTTATTAGGACAAAAATTAGATAATTAATTATATTTATGCATGATCGACAACTATCACTACGGATTTTATTTAATCCCTTTAGTTTTAGAGTTATTCCGCTAAAACGAATTT